TAATACACACTCTATGTGCATCTTACACATGTAACCTGAATGGTCATAGTTTTAGTACATGCAGCTGTGGGCATTAAAACAAATTCGTACTGAATAAAACACCAAATGCAGTGTGTGATTATACCATATTTAACCATTGCCTGTGTGATGAACAGCGAAACTTGGCAGACACATGTACGTGTATCTGACCGACTCTTGTAACGCCCCAACAATCTTCACTCAACATGCAAATAGCTGTGTATTACAAGACAGCTATCACACAGTATGGCATGGTGAGAGTACAAAATTACATAATACATCATACTATAAACAAACTGTAAACTTAGCGCACCTTCACCATATCATAAAAAGGAAGAATGATAAATGAGAGTGTGCGATACATACACGACTTCAACTGGAATTTTCCCGTATTTCTTTTCCGATGCAAGATGAGCCAGAAGGACATTTAACACTGTGTTAAAGTCCTCCAGACTCTAACCAAACGATTGGAAAAACTAAACGGCAAAATAAGCGTATTCCTGCATCTACATGAAGAAAGAATCCATACTTAGGCTCATATTCTGCTCAAAAAAGGATATCCAAACACTCAAGTTTAATAGGCTTCAGTCTTATAGGTCACGTTGAAAGTTGATCACGGCAACTTGATTTTGTCTCAATGAATTACAACTTAAAGGGAAAGTCCACCCCCAAAATAAGTTTGTTTCGATAGAGGCAGAATAATAAGAAAATCAGGTGAGTGAAAGTTTGAGCAATTCTGAATGAAAATAAGAAAGTTATGAATTATTGAAGTTGTGATCAATCAAATACAAATTGGCAACTCTGTGACTTATTATACGAGCTCTCCTTCATTTGCTTTGTGCATAATATTCCATAAAATCATGTTTCTTCGTTATTGATGACGGAATATATATTTGTTCCTGCAGGGGGAGTATAGAAACATATTTGCAATTATTATATTTAGGGTGCATGTATGGTTGAAATTTTTCTTGAGGGAAAATGAAAATTTTAGATTTTTTTAGTACTGAGCAAATGGAAGTTGAGCTCGCATGATACGTCATAGAGTTGCCAATTTGTGTTTGATTGATCCCAACTTCAAAAATCCTAACTTCTTTATTTTTAATCGGAATTTGCTCAAACTTTCACTGACTTGTTTCTCTCATTTTTCTACTCCTATTAAAACTAACTTAATTTCAGGGTGGACTTCCCCTTTAAACTGAGGATAAGCCAAGCAACATCCTTAATTTGTTTTGTAAAACATGGACCTTAAACTTACCAGTATATTTGAATCTAGGCAAGCATATCACTTTTTTAGAGTAGTTCTTCTATTTTCTATATCCTACTGGTACATGTCAATCACGGTCAGCTGATATTGCATCAAGTATCTGTACACTAATTTCTTCCAGGCTTAAAGGGATCGATTAACAATGTTAAGTCCGAGATGCGAGGCCCTAAGTGTTATCAGTGTCTGTGATATGGTGTTATATTGAAGCCCTAAAAAAATGCGCTTCAAAATGATCCAAGAAGTGCCTCAAAAAAGTAAAAAACCTTTGAGTGACCAGTTTTACCATACTCATTTTCCCCAATAGACTGTTGTGTTATGAAAACCGTTTGGCAAACGCAAAATTTGATTTCGATTTTCAATCATATATATCTTGATAATCAGACAGGCGATCGGCTTGTAAAAGTCATGGGGTTCCTGACTGACCTGAAGGTTTATAATTGTCATTGCAGCAGGAGCTAAATCAAGGATTTAGTAAAGGATCTAAGACAAAGTTACCGGATCCCTTTAAACATAGCTAGGAGATATCGCTTTTCGATGGCATCAGAGAATACACCTGAATAATATCCAAACAACCGTTCTGCAGCACAATGTGAAATGAGAAATGTTATATACAGTACATAACAAGCATTATGAAATACAAACCACACATACACACATGTATAGAACATAATAAAGATGTGACATATTTTAGATACACCTGTACGCTTGCTATCGATTGCAATGTAGGTACAGATTAATTGTGATTGACATTTATAGGAACATTTGTTCCATACAACGACCAAAACAAAATAATTCAGCCAAATCTTGTCTATTCGTACATGCTAACTAGCAAAAATGGGTTACAACATACATGTACATATGACATAATGAATACAGGGTGGAGTTAAACACTGTAATCCGAATGAACATTTAAACTGCTTTCTAATTTATTGACATATGTGTATAGGCTTCGCAGTTTTAGATCTTATAATTTACCGCTCGGTGAATATGCCCAAGTCCTTTGTTGCACGCAGTTCCCATTCATTTTACAAGCAAAAAAACTGTGGCGGCTTTTTACTGCGCCATATCTGAACCAGCCTTAAGAATGGATATAGAAATTGTCTTATTAGATATTAGATATATATTATCTTAAGATACGCTTGTTTTGTATGGGGTTTATTTCAATATTAAAAGCAGTTAACATTTGTAATTCGCCATGTCTGTCAAAATTGACACCCCTGCCGCAATTCTAAGAAAATGGTGTAATTGTGGGCACATATCTATAAAGTAATTCAAGAAAAGAAAGCAAGTAAACATAATTTTAACATACTACTAGGCATAATTTTGCAATACTAGAATTAGAACAATATTTTCAACATAACAGAAACATTCAAAATATCATGAATACTTATTCAGTTATGTAAACTATTAATTAATGTACATTGGTTGTGACAATAGATTGGGAAGCTCTGTAGATAATCAATTTATAGTAAAAGAGAAGCATTTACTCTGGATTCAACAATGTATCACAGACAAATTAAAAGAAAAATGGAAATAACATGAATACTATTGATTGTGATGCTGCTGGTAAAATTAAATCAATCTCATCAAGAAAAAGTTTGAAGCAAAATCTGAGGAACCAGTTTATATTGTTGTTTTGTTTTTTAATTTGGTGATGACAAAGTGATCTGACAAAATGTTAGGACACAGGATTACATTGAACGAGGGGAACGCAGCAAATCAGCTATAATTCAAAATGCTTCTGGGGCATGATACAATTTTAACAAGATAACAGCATATTGAATACAAATCTTTGAATAAACTGGACAAATAGGAGAGACAGATACAAAAAAAACTTTCCCCTTTAAGATCATCCCAATCACAATGCCTTATTTCAGAAGTACCACAGGTTAATCTACATAATATGATGAGAATATTATCAGGGTAAATAAAGAATTTTATGGAAGTTCCTTAAGCACAAAGTAAGAAAAAAAGGTATACATGTCCTATAACATTTGAGCAATACTCGAAATGTTCCTCACAACTTGATACTACTCAATGGTTAACAAGTAAGCGGTCATTGATGTGATACATGTACAATGATTGCCGAGTGCAGGAGTAGAGGTATTGGGGTCGACAGAAGGAATAATGACATAATACCATGTATACATTACTTATGGCAGGGCTCCACACCATAGCTCCTTGAGATAGAAAGTTGCGTCATTGGAATTTACTTCCGATTGGTCAGGCATTTCATGAAGTACAATTTCTATGGATCTATCTATGAGAGAGAACTATCCCTCTTTATATGCTATGCTCCACACTAATGTTTTGGTTTGAAATTTATTGTACCTGTATGCACAGCTCTATGTTTAAACTTAAAAATAGTAGGGGGTTTTAACGTATGATAAATTTTGACCTGGAATAACTGCCGAGAAAGTTTGGGACCTAACACAGAGCGTCCGCCTCACAACCGGGAGGTCGTGGGTTCGAACCCCGTCCGCGTCATACCAAAAGATGTTAAAAGACGGAAGTTGCTGCTACCTTGTTTGGCGTTCAACAATGAGGGATAGAGCAACGTCGATCTGGCGCTGCTCAGTGGCTGCCGGGCCCACGATCAATTAGGTAAAAAGAATTTCCATTTTCGGTTGAACTTAATAAAATCTGGAGTGGACTTTAAAAGATTATTTTTATTATTATATGGGAGTACTTTCAAAATCACTTTCAAAATAGCGGCCCTTTTCCATTCTTTTGTTGTTATAAAGGAGAAAGTCTAAACAGGATTAAATGGCTCTCTCTTTCTCTCTCTCTTCTATTAAGGGCATAAAACATAAATTGAACAACATACAAAGACCGGAAATGTTAAGATTAATACAATTGGATAAACATAAACATGAACAATCCTCCTCTTTCTTCTTGAACATTAGAGTTGATGAACAAATATGGTGTAGAAATGGACTTGTAAATAAATATATATAACTCTCCCTTCAACTCGCACACTATGTTAGATTTTGTTGCTCCCTCAAAGAGCACGAAAATCAGAGCAAAAACAATTACTGAAAGGACCATTACTGCATGATGTCTGCTTTTATATAACATGTATTCTCTTCTGGCTCTCAAAAAGTACATGTACATGTGAATTCTTCATATAAAAAACTCTCCATTTTTTAAATCACTGGACTGTGCGTTTATGCTCGGATGATAAGCGCCAATCTTGAACGATATTTAAACAAAAACGCAAAAATGGATCTAAGGAAATACTATCCCAAAGTCAATTTCTAGTAATCCTTGAAATTCTCACTTCTCTAGCATAATGTACATTCCTTGAAATGCTAGAGCGCCGTATGGCAGCTATGCTAAAGCCAGGAGTGTCACGTATGACAGACATGAGCGCTATACAAGAACCCACTATTATTATTATTATTATATTTCCAAATAAATATATCTTAATTGTTTTTCGCTACAAATTCAAATGCCATAAAGAAGACACCATTTCAATATTAAAGCATAGTGTGGCTCGGGTAAAGCTTTAACTCAGGAATACGAATAAATTAAACTCAACAACAAAAGATTATGTTCCTCCCAAGATTTATCTGAAAAGGAAAATTAGACCAAATGAGCTCCCTGTGAGTATTTCACCATAAAATATTAATTGTTGTGTTTTTGTTTTGCATTTGTTTTGTCTTATTTTGTTATGTTTTGTTGTGGCTTCATTTTTTAAAATGTTTTTTAATATTGTGGAAAGGGGGAGGGGGGGGGGGTAGGGAGGATTTGGTTATAAAAAATGAAAAAGTAAATCGTTTAAACGACAAAAGACTTTCCTGTCTATCCCCAACTATCTGGATTTCAGGTTGTATAACATTTTTTGTCCTTCAAATTTTGAAATAAATATCATACGATTCCCCATGTACCTTTTAGATTGAAAGAGGAGAACCATACTATGCCCTCGAAAATGACACTATGCATCTATAGTGACGCTATCACAGATTAGCTACTTTGTGCATTTCTGGTTACAGTTAAAACATACACAATAAATGGTGGAGTCGAACTCCCCTTGGCACTTTTAATATATGAATAATCATCACCAAATCTGTACAACAGTCACCTCAACCCAATTTAAAGTAGCAAAACACTTGGTAATATTTCAACTTGAGTTGCTCTCGCGGGTTAGTGTTTTCTCAATCAATGATGAGTATCACTGAAAGACATTAAAAAGAGCTTCTCACTGCAGATTCAGAGTGGGGTGATGAAGGTTGAGCTTGAACCGGTAGATATGCTCATAGTCCTTATGATTCAACCCTTCACCATTTCCCTACAACATGCTTCAATGATAAAGATGGCTCGAAAATCCATGCATGCAGCACGTGTTACTAGTAAGTTCAACAAAATCAAGTTCTCTCCTCGAGCAACGTTGCTTTGCCAGTATTAAGAACAATACCAAGAGCATTCACTTGCAGCGTTGACAAGTGAGGAAGGTTGAGAATTCTCGGTCTTCAGTCTACCTTTCGATCTGATCAGGACCTGGACTGGTTAGCCGTCTTGGTCCTGGTCTGGCTCGGGAATATGGTGCTGGAGCAGCATGGCGGCCCCCTCGGGCGGACCCCCTGCAAGTTCCGGGTTGACTGGGACGTCCACGCCACCGCCGAGGGAGGCAAGATTGGGGATGGAGCGGCTCCGGACGCACTGGAAGTCGACGTGTCTGCTCTTGTGTTCCTCCTTCTCCCAAGACATGCGCAGGAAAGGCCTCTGGACATAGTTGTAGATCACTGCCAAAATACATGGAAATACATATCAACATAACATACAGAGCTTCTTCAATGATTACCCTGGATATTCGATTTTCATTTCATTTTTATTTTTTCATTTCCAACGAAAAACAATACATTATAACGAATACAATGTAAAATGTATACAAAAACATAGTTACATTTGTAATAAACAAATCTTAATAGTAATTTATGTTATGTATGTTATTAACAAAGAAGAAGAAAAAGCCAGTCAGTCACTCAATAGTGTCTGACAGTAAAGTCTAGCAAGTAAACGGGTTTCCTTGCATAATTTGAATATGAGGACACTGCTAACGTTTGAATTTCACAGATAGGACATACATGATATATTCATAATTCCTACAAAGTTCTACAGAATTTGATGTTGGCTGGAAAAGGGACATAGTATCTTTAACATACTGGTACTATGTTTCAAGTCTAGTACAAATTTCCCTGATAATTTCATTGAAATATGTACAACAGCCGAGTAATGTTAATTCTCATAGAATCAGCCCCAAAACAAGACGTGTACAAATAAATGATATCTGCCAAACAATCTAAGGCCCCCCTATGATCTCGGCCGTGAAACGCCCGATCACCGCGAAAATTTGCATACATGTCAAGTGAAGTGTATAGAATACTATGGTAATTTCAATTTTTTGAAAAATTCACTCATTTGCATATTTATGGTAATTTATGCAAGTAAGGTCATAAAATTCACATTTTTGCCCATAAATCAGACATTATTCATATTTAAGCATTCTTTCTCACTACATATACTTTTTAGACCATTTGGAATAATAGTGCAACACAAAAAATAAAAAAACAGGGTTACTCCTTATGTTATCTATTGTTTTGATAATTTCTTATGTATTTTTTGTTTTTTTAACTTATGTATTGTTTTTGTTGTTTTACTTCATTTCCAATTATAATTCAACTATTTTGACCCCAAAATAAACAACTTAACTATAAACAAGACCAAATAACCAATGTTTTATCTCTTTTTTAAAAATGAGATTTCCATATGTTTTGTACACAAATCACAAAAATGAGCGATTTTCGGGCTGACAAAGACAAAAGGACATGTGACTTTGTAATGATAGGTCCAATTTTCGAAAAATTTCTTTCAAAAGATGTGCAAGACTCGAAAGAAAAAAGTCAAACAACTTTCAGTGCAAGATTTTCTTGCGTTAAAAAATTATCGCAAAAAATGTCGAGGGGGGGGGGGGCTTCTAAAGTCCCCCCTCCCCCCAGGCTAAATAGGGTTAAGCATTTGATTTAAAGTGGATAAGATGCCTTACAAATCTCATAATTTTTCATTTTCTCTCTCTCTCTCTCTATAAAGTGCCATATCGATTGACTTTGGTGATCATGCTGCTCCACAACCCTCGGCTTCTAGCCTTCTCTATTAGTACCACTCCCAGTTCTTTCACTCCTCTCTCTTCCAACAATTTCTGCAGAATTTCCATCCAAAGTATCCTCTTTCTACCCCTACTCCTCTTTCCCACAATTTTCCCTGTCAAAGCAAGATTCTCTATGCCTTTTTCACGTGTAATGCGACCCATGAACTTCAACTGCCAAATCAACATCTCATGTATCATTTTCCTTTGTACTCCAGCTCTTCTCAGAATTTCTTAAATTAATAACTTTGTCAGTCCAAGGGATTTTTATCATTCTTCTTAAAAACCACATTTCGCTAATCATTATCATTAAATCTATATTTACCTTCTGGTTTTCCTCCTGGTCTCTGCTTGATCTTCTCCTTGTAGGTTGGATAACCTGATGGGTTAGGACACAAAAATGGTAACATTTTGAAAATTCTTTCTTTAATCTAACCACATACAGTTGTAACAACAGTTTGTAGAAAAACCTGAAGATAGCCACAGCAATGAAAATGTCATTGATCATTGCATGACTGGTCTTTTTTTAGACACACAATGATGAACTTAAAATAAATTTTTACAGGTAAAACAAATTTTGGTAATACTTTCAACAGGATTGGATTATGATTTCAAATTGGAATAGAAAATCGGTCGATTTTAGTCAAGAAACATTGTTTTGAAGCAAGAGTAATATCAAACTTGAGAAGGAGTTCTACAACATAAAGATTTTAAAACAAAATTTGGTAATATTTTCAACAGGATTGGATTATAATTTCAAATTGGAATAGAAAATCGGTCGATTTTAGTCAAGAAACATTGTTTTGAAGCAAAAGTAATATCAAACTTGAGAAGGAGCTATACAACATAAAGATTTTATCATTCACAATTTCATCTCTTAAAGGGACTTTGTAACATTTTACAGATGAGAGAAAATGGTGCTATTAAAGCTAGTGACTTCAATATTACTAACGATAAAAATGGGGAAAAACTGATCTGATCAATTCCTTAATTCTCCCAACCATATTATTACAGTTTAATTACATTTTAGATGAACATTAATCGTCATAAAGCAATGAACAGGCTCTATATACCGAGTTTATACCATTCCAGACATTCAAGTGTTGAAAGATTTTTAAAAGCCTGTCTTATGTCTTATTTTCATGGAAAAACGGTTAGGAAAATCCAAAAAGTGTTTGGGAAATTTACTGACAAACCATAACTTCTATGCCTAGTCTTGTCACCTTCAAACTCATTTTCCAGCATATTGGCATATAAGCTCTGCATTTAATGAAGCTTAAGAGATATTAGAGAAACCTTACCTTCTATGCCTAGTCTTGTCATCTTCAGACTCATTAAAAAAAATATTGGCATATAAGCTCTGCATTTAATCAAGCTGGAGATAATAAATAATCATATCTGATCGATACACGTCTGTAAAAACCCAATTACACACACAAGCTTGAGAGATCTTAGAGAAACCTTACCTTCTATGCCTAGTCTAATCTTCTTCAGACCCCTATCCTTGAGTACCGACTTGGCCACGTCCCGGTTCTCAATGTACTTGAAGAACCTGTAGAGGGAGGTGCTGTAGATGACCGGGCAGTTCATCTTCAGACTCATTTCAAGAATATTAGCATATAAGCTCTGCATTTAATAAAGCTGGAGAGATCTTACTTACCTTCTATGCCTAGTCTAATCTTCTTCAGACCCCTATCCTTGAGTACCGACTTGGCCACGTCCCGGTTCTCAATGTACTTGAAGAACCTGTAGAGGGAGGTGCTGTAGATGACCTGGCAGTTCTCTTCGCCCATCGCTGGAGGGTAGTCTGGATCCCACTCTACCACGTCGTCCTCCAGTAAGATCACAATGTGGCATTCCCTTTCTCCTTTCTATTACACACACATAGATTGTGAAAGTAATAATAATATTCCGCTTATATGGCGCTTAAAGACCGTCACCACTACTGGGCCAGAAGGGATTAGACCACACAGAGAGCCATCGAGGTCACTGTGACAGGTGGCTATCTCATTAACTCAGCTCTCATTTAACATAAGAAAAAGAGGATCATGGGGGACCAACAGGCACCGATTGGGGAAGTTTTCTATATAGAGGGAGCAAGTAGCTACAAGTATGGCAGTGTGCCTTTGATACAACGTCTCTAAGCCAGAGATGCAAACCTCTTGACACAAAAACACAGACTGTGTATCCTACAAAGAAATATCAGATTTTGGAGAGAAAAATCAGATTTTCACGAAAACTCGACACTACCACTGGCCTGTCGGCCTACAGTCCGGTAAAATTTCAGAAAAATGTTTGCTCTTTCATTAAAATTTAATGAGAAAATTGTAAAGCAAATTTTTGTTGGGGTTGCAGGGTTTACTTGTACATGTATCTATGCGTTTCCGCTGTTTTTATGGGTTTAAAAACAAAAACAAACAAAAAAGAAGAAGAAAAATCGTATTTTAAGATTTTATGATCGTATTTCACTCTTATTATCAAAGTTGGCATCTCTACTAAGCGCTTTACAGATAAACTATTACCCTCTTATCAAACACGAATTTGCAGTCTTCTTTCTCTTATGATCATATTTGCTATTGATATCAATCTCATATAAGTTGGAATAACTACTATAACTTAATTAAAAGGTAATTGGCCTGGGGCCCGCCTTAAAAAGAGTTGCGCTTGATCCAAATCAATCGCAAGTTCTCTCTCTAATCAAACACAAATTTGCAGCCTTCTATCTCTCATGTTCATAGTTGCTATTGATATCAATCTCACATAAGTTGGAATAACTACTATAACTTAATTAAAAGGTAATTGGCCTGGGGCCCGCCTTAAAAAGAGTTGCGCTTGATCCAAATCAATCGCAAGTTCTCTTTCTAATCAAACACAAACTTGCAGCCTTCTATCTCTCATGTTCATAGTTGCTATTGATATCAATCTCAAATAAATTGCGAATAACTGCTTTAATATGGGGTTCTGGGGAGTGTTTCACAAAGATCCCAAGTTGATCTCAACTCTAAGGAGGAGCTAAAATTCTGGAAAGCCATTTGTAGCCTTAAAGTAAATTATATTCAAAAGCATCAATTCAAGTATTTTAGACTCTTCATAAATTCTTCAAGAACATGAAATCTCCCATGATAATAGAAAATATGAATGATTTGAATCAACATTTTATGCCTCTTAAAATAACTTTTACAAAATATTTTCATAGATGCTAACAGCTTTCCATAATTGTTAAGTCCAACTTAGAGTTAAGTTTGACTTAGAATCTTTGTGAAACACCCCCAGGGGGCTAGTTAGTGTTCCCTGCCTTGCACCACCTACCTGGGCGCAGTTGACCATCTCTGGTAGCAATGCTGCTTCCAAGTGCTTCTCAAACTCTTGTCTGGCACCGTCATTTGAAATCTCATGTAGTAGGCATCCTGCAATAAGGCATGAAAGAAGGATAACGACCTGAAACTATTAAATGTGTGCATTACAGTGACTCAGTAACATTGTCTCAGATTCTGAAACAAAATCCTGCATTTATCTCATGCTGCCATGATAATTATAAACCTTTAGGTCAGTCAGTCAGGAACCGCATGACTTTTACAAGCCGATCGCCTGTTTGATTATCAAGATATTAATGATTGGAATTCGAAATCAAATTTTCTGTTTTCCTAACAGTTTTTATAACACTACAGTCTATTGGGGAAGAGGAGTATGGTGAACTCGGTCACTCACATATATTTACTTTTTTGAGGCACTTCAAACTGGGATGAAAGTGTTAGGAGATGGCATTAATGTGAGTTTCCACTCACCAATACTTTCTACTTGTAAAATGATGATGACCGTGAATTTTCTGATTGCATGTACTTACGTAAATTTTTGCACTTAATGGTATCCTCTGTAAAAGGTATAAGGAGATAATCACACGCCTCTCTCAGATCCTGAATAGACACACTTGGGGGACAACGAATACAGCCAACTTTGTAGAAGTCCTGGGAAAGAAAAGAACAAAGTCAGGCATAAGACAAGAGCAGTCTGTCAACGCGAGGAATAATAATAATCTAGATTTATATCTAAAGCACTTTACAAATATCACCCCAGTCATCAGGTTCATTTACACACAATATACAACATCTCCACTCCTTGGGGAGTATTTCTACCATTTGATCACCGTAAGGTCATATGGCAATTACTAACACAAAGGCTTTTGTCATCATACAGGTTCCCATTTCTCTCCTGGGTATGGAGTGGCAAATGTAGATTAATGTCTTGCCAAAAGACATGAGGGCCGTGCCGGGGATCAAACCACCGACTTTGAATTTCAAGTCAAGTGCTTAAACCACTCGACCAAGAGTGGAGGAGTAACCTGAACAAAACAACATTGGCATTCAAAAATGAAATGATATATTAAAGCCTCACTGCACTACTTGTAGCTACTTGCACCCTCTAGAGCAAACAGTGCCTAATTGGTGACTGTTGGTCCCCCATAGTCCCTTTTTTTTGTTATGTTAATTGAGAGCTGATTTGATGAGATAACCATATGTCAGTGACCATGCATTGAGGGCTTATCCCTCCTGGCTAAACAAGTGCAGGTGGACTTTATAGAATAGTTTCTTTTTTTCTTTCTTTGCAATTTAACCCATCAATGTCTTCAAAGGCTTACTAGAATGGATGAGAAGATCTCTGCCGATATGCCATGCGCTACTTCATATTCTCCTTTATCGTTAGGCCTGGTCATCGTATGGTCTACTCCATTGCTAAACATTCTGTGGATTGAGAGAAAGGGAGAGAGGGGGGGGGGGGCGGAGAGAGAGGAGGGAGGGTGGGAGACAGACAGGGAGGGAGAGAGAGAGAGAAGGAAAGAGAAAGGAAGAGAATAGGGGAGATAAGGAGAGAGGGAGAAAGGGGGAGAGAGAAGAGAGAGAGAGAGGGGGAGGGGAGAGAGAGAGAGAGAGACAGACAGACAGAGAGGAGAGAGGGGAGAGAGAGGAGAAAGAGAGGAGGCAGGAGAGAGATATGAGGAGAGGAGGGGGAGAAATAGTCGAAGGATGATATCAAAGATACTCTTCAAAGCTACTTATCAACATTTTGACATGGTAATGTATAAAGCAGTTAAATGCAATATCAGTAATTCATGTCTGCAGTATGTAACAGTTATTCAAAAATTAAAAGATATTTCAAATATGCTAATGAATTTACAACAAAAATGTTGCAAACTGGAGAAGCTTTTCATCGTACCATTTAGAAGATTCTTTCCTGGATGGGTTATACACCTGTATATACATGTACATGTATACATGTAATTACCGGTAAAGATGTTCTGGCGAAAGTTCCAATTCGAAATGCCTAGAGTCTCGTTTAGATATGGCGGAGTACACACAGTTTTACAGGGTACAGAAATGTGGAGCATATTACACTTTAAATCATCATTTTTAAAAAATGCAGCGGTTTTGCCGCGTCATATCTGTACGGGTGTTACAGTTTACAAGAACCTCAGTGGTATATCCGTAAAAATGCATGAATGGCAAAATATATATATATATATATATATCTGAGAAGATCCTTTCTATTCAGCATCAAATGGAGCACGGCACACTAGAGATCCAAGAGTTTTCGGGTTCACAAGAAAAATTTATCAAGTAAATTATCCTCCATGGGCACAAAAATATCATCTGCTATGTATACTTCATACATTTTAGATTATGGAATAATAGAATAAGTTGTCGTAATCAGAGCTGCCAACCTTGTGCGACCAAAAAAAGGAACCACAATGGCAAAAAAAAAGGAATTCATTAAAACGAAACTTACAACCACTGCCAATGCAGAAATGTCCATTCCTCATGCTGTTTTTTTTCCATACAAGCAGGTATTTTTGTGTGGTTATTTTGGTATTATCGGCATTTCATTTTTTTCAAGTATGTTTTCAAGTATGTTTTAAGCTTAGTTTTCTATTGAATTTGTGATCAAATCAACATTTTAGGGCAGTTGTTTGACGTGCGGTATGTAACAAAATAAATTTATTTAAACAAAAATTTTAAAAAATTAAAAAAATTAAAAAATTATGAAGAAAAAACGTACTACCATAATTAGGACGGAAAAAAAAAAAGAGTTATTCCGGCAAAAACATTATGGTTGGCAGCTCTGCGTAATGGATTAAATGAGAGAAAGAGAAGGATTGAAAACTTCAGATCTTACCTTCCTAGCATGGTATTTGGTTGAGCAATGAAGAGCGACGGGTCTACTACAAATCTAGTGTTCTCTACAATCAAGGTTACTCGGTCAGCTAGCTTGAACTGACCAAGTGCTCCTACATGGTTTCTTGCCATACCTGTGAGAGAGGGAGATGGAGAGAGAGGGAGAGAGGAGGGGGTAGGATGGAAAGAGAGGTGGGAGGGGAGACAGAGGGAAGGAGGGAGAGGGAAGGAAAGAGAAAGGGAGAACATAGGGAGGGGAGGTTGGAGAGAGAGAGGGAGGGAGAGAGAGAGAGGGAGGGAGAGAGAGAGAGAGGAGGGAGGGGGAGGATAGAGAGAGGAGGGAGGGGGAGGATAGAGAGAGAAGAGGGAAGGTGGGAAAGAGGGAAGGAGAGAGAGGGGAAGGGAAGGAGGGAGAGGGAAGGGAAGGGAAGGAGGGAGAGGGAAGGGAAGGAGGGAGAAGGAAGGAAAGAGAAAGGGAGAACATAGGGAGGGGAGGTTGGAGAGAGAGAGGAGAGAGAGAGGAGGGAGGGGGAGGATAGAGAGAGAGGAGGGAAGGTGGGAAAGAGGGAAGGAGAGAGAGGGGAAGGGAAGGAGGGAGAGGGAAGGGAAGGAGGGAGAGGGAAGGGAAGGAGGGAGAGGGAAGGGAAGGAGGGAGAAGGAAGGAAAGAGAAAGGGAGAACATAGGGAGGGGAGGTTGGAGAGAGAGAGGAGGGAGGGGGAGGATAGAGGGAGAGGAGGGAAGGTGGGAGACAGAGAGAGGGAGGGAGAGAGAGAGGAGGGAAGAGAAAGGAGAGAGAATAGGGAGAGAAGGAGAGGGAGGGAGAGAAGGGGTGGAGAAAGGGAGAGAATAGGGAGATAAGGAGGGATAGGGAGAAATGGGTGGAGAGAGGGAGAAATGGGTGAAGGGAGGGGAGAGAGATGAGGAGGGGAGAGAAAGAGAAAGGGGGAAGGGGAAGTGAGAGTGAGAGAGGGGGGAGAGAGAGAGAGAGAGAGAGAGAGATAGAAAAGCAAGGAGAGAAGAGGAAGGAGAGAGAAAGGGGGAGAAGAGAGAGAGAACTCTGTCAAATGAGAACTTCAGAAGGCGACATCCAATTAACAAATGACAACTTCCCCTTCCTAAAATTTAATCAACGACAATATTAAATAATTTAAATTCATGTAATGAGCAAATCTATGAAGCTTTTATAAGTTTTAACATGCAATTTCTTTCAATAGCCCACCGACAGGAACATGTACATTGTACATGTATGCAATACTAAGATCTCAAGTTTGTTCACAAAACTAAATAGTTCAATACAACATGCCTGTACAACAGAGTGGAAGAAAACAAAAAGTTGCTTGATCCTACAATAAAAATTCTAGTGTGTTGACTTCTGCATCCATGTCATTTTGAGGAGGTACCTAAACATACATTGTTAACCTTCATACCCTTTATAGTAAACTTTTCTTTCCAACATTAGAATATTTTCTCAACCTGTATCAAAATAGATGTGCAAGAACTCTTGATTTCACGTGAATACACAAGCTCAATTTTATGCATGTTTCAATAGCAACACAAATACAAGCACAACAAAAACAACAAAACCATAAAGCAAGAAGACTTATTAGCAATCAAAATGATCAAATATTTGCTCTCATTGTAATTTTAGCAACAGCAAGTGGAATTCATCCTTCGAGATGCCAACATGCATTAAGGGTGATTATCACCCGGCCCCCCACTCCGAGAATGGACGGACCCCATGCGTGTTACCAAAATGTCCGGTAAAGGGGAACTTTTTGTGCGATAAAGTCCGGCCCGAGAATCGTAAAAAAAGGGGTGTATTAACTTTTCTTTAAAAAGGGGATTTTTTCTTTTTTTCTCTCATCTCTTTGGACTCCTGAAATATTATTCCGAATTTAGGGGGGTACATTGAGCATTTTTCATGATTTAGGGGGATCTCCAAGGCAGGAAAAGCCCGCGAAAAGACAGCGAAAGGGGGGTTCGGAAATGTTGGCAGTCCTCAGATAGGGGGTGCTTTCAAAAAGAGGGAACAAGCATGTGCGTACCCTAAATAGCACTGAGTGGGGGGGGGGGGGGGTGGGGCGGGATAATCATAGTTCAAGATCTTTGACTCTCAAAAGAAAACCAGAGAACATGGAACTGGCCAAATGCATGCAAACGGCCGACTTACTTAATCATGTCAACCGATATTAATCATCACTTGCAGCTTAAAATTAAATCTTCTGCAATCAGAATTCAACAATTCACTCAAAATGTCAAAATAGTGTTAAGTGTGAGAGAAAACTTGCATTCAATGACCCAAGCACATTCCAGATGGTATGTACATTTACATGAATTTTTTTTTGGGGAAAAGACCTTTGTTATGACTATGGAAATGCTTTTCATCATTCCGGATGAATACTGATAGAATTCTCTATTTAGATGCTTTTGGTTTTTGATTATTTTGTTATTCATGCATTGCTGAGCCTGGGAGGCTTGTTTTTGCCCATCTTTCATTGCTTGAAATAGGGACTTTTAAATTTGCACGTTGACATAGTGGACTGCTACGTGTGACATCCTCTTAAGACAATGGCAGTGCCTTAAAAGGACGTCACACATAGCAGTACACTATGTCGACGTGCAAATCTAAAAGTCCCTATTGAAAAAAATGGAGGCATTGCAATTTTTTAACGAGCATGTAAACTTTATATTTAGAAAGCAATTAACTCTTTATTTGACTTGTATTCAAACCCGGGACTCCATGATTGTGTGGCGCATAATGTACATGTGACAGAAGTCGACTGCACATGGCAGTCCTGTCTGATCTTTTAGTTGACCAAAGCCAGTAAAAGTTAAAGCTCGTGTACAGTTTTGGTAGCAAACAGGAAATTGGAAGGAAACTGTTCAATATAGCCTTGTGTTGTCCTCCATGTTTTTCTCCTACGTTGTTCTTCTATTAAAATATATATGTAAAAGATCACTTGGTATTCTATCCATTATTTTTGGCGAAATGTAGTGTGATTGTCTGCAAGGGATCCTAGACAAGGACTAAACACTCCCTTATTAATCTCAGTGTTTCACTTAGGAACAGCGTGTCTGTTAACTGTAGCATAAACACACAGTCGTCTTAGGTTTTACATACGTGTTTAGTCTAGGTAGCCTTTTTTAGAATTCACTTCTGAGGATGGTATGTAAAATATTTTCTACTTTTTATTTGTTCAATATTTTACTTAAGGAGGAAATAACTTCACAGCAGCTTTAATATCTTCCTACCTGTACTTATCACCTAAAATCAAAGAAAAGTTTCTGAAGGCTTACCAACACTGTACTATTACCTTTGATGATAAACCATACAGTTTCAAATTGCCACCCCACCCCCCCCCCCCCCTCCCCCTCCGTTTAAAAGAAAAATGTACAGATGTTATTGGGAAGAAGGGGAGAAAATCTAGAGAAGCCATATTTCTTGATATCAAACATCACAAACATTTAGTAATTAGTATGGAGCATTCGTGGATCTTCATGAAATGACATATACCGTGCTCACATGCAGTTCGTCGATTCCTGGGGTTCGTACAGTTGCTCATGGTTGTAATCGTGATGGTCGTCGAGGCAACGTCGGAAGGCGGGACTCTCCGTGCCTCGTTTGCGGCCGAGGAAGTCGGGGCAGCTGCGCGGGCGGCGGTGGAGGTGGTGATCGTCGTCTGCGGCGGCGTCGATGTCGTCGATGTCATTATCCGAGCGGCATTGGAAGAGGACGACGAAGGCGATTTGAGGCACGAGTGTGTTGGGGAATCGTCGCGGTTTGAACGAACTTCGACAGGTTGGGCTCGAGAGTTTGCCGAATCGGTGTCACTGGTCATCATAGATGAAGAGCGCCCTCCTACTTGCGGATAGGAGCTCCTGTAAGTACAAGAAAAAACAAGGAGTGTAAAAGATTTATTTTGTATTACTGGCCGTTGTTTTACTTGGCATTGTATTACTTGGCTTTGTATTACTTGGTGTTGTATTACTTGGCGTTGTATTACTTGGCGTTGTTTTACTAGGCGTTGTGGCCTGCGCCTGTAATCCAGCCAACAGTGGAAGTTACAAACTGATTCAGCCGTGGACGCAGGTTCGAAACTGAGTCACGTCTTTCGAATGGTGACGTTTAAAGGTCAATCCCCAGACGTAAAAAATCATATCTGATTGGTTTTTTTTATTTATTTTTTTTATACACGTCTGTAAAAACCCATTACACAAACACACACACACACCACGGCTCTTAATTGTGTTTCTTATAATCTAATCCAACCACATTGACGCATCCTACCGAATATTCATCTAACTTCTGGGTGGAGAGGAGCAATGTAGATAAAAATGCCTTGCTCACGAACAGAAGAGCCTTTCCCGGGATTGAACCAACGACCTTTGCATATCCAGAAAAGTGATTAGACCACTCAACTACAACACACTTTTGGATTTCCTATTGTAATATCGATATATTCATATTTTAAAGCTCTCTAAAGCCAATTCATTTATTTACCTAGAGAGTAAGTTAGTAAATTTTTCTTAAGAAATAAAAGAAGACCTACAAAAACACGCATTAGTACAATGTACATGTACATTGTACATGTACGAAGGGTACAAAATATGTACATGTACATGTAAGTTCCCCTAATAATTTATGAAGTAAAATCAAAAGATTGATTGATCTTTGTTGTATTGTACACTGCACATACTGTGTACATGTACATGTACATGTACACACAAATAATAGTACACATTCATGTAATTGTATATTTCACATAAAAGCATACATGTAGGGCCTTGGCATTATGCTAGACAGTTTTAAAGGTAAAGACCAGTATTGGAAACGCCCCAATTTCAAAAAATGAAATGGAAGCTCTCATTACCAATCATGTGAAAGAATATGTTTTGACTAATACATGATGATAAAAATTTTGCCGGGAAACTGCCTACTAATTCATATATTTGGTAAATTTGTTTCTCTCATGGTCTGTGAGAGATATAGGGTAGTCCCATATACATCTTTCTGTGTATAGTGCTTGTAACTTTACGAAGAATGGGCCAAATTTCTTATCATTTTGATGATTCCAGAACCTTGCAGATGCTACATGTAGATGCTAGATGATCAACCTTTTCTGATCGATTCCACAACGTTTCTTTCACAATGCAATCGCATGACCATAACTGGTCTTTACCTTTAAGGGGTAAAAACAGGAATTAGTTTGGACGAAATTGTAACTTTCATAAACAACACTACTACATTTACATGTACAGTACATGTACATGAATGTTAGCCATTAAATGCATTGAAAACACAACATTCACAATTTTTGCCCCCTTTAGACAAACATTTCTGGCAAAAAATCTAGCGCTCGTGAACCATACTGCAGGCCCGTAGGGTGAACATCATCTGTTTGGAGCCAATAGGACATGTAACTCATATGTGTGCTTTAAAGCTCCACTGTCCTACATGTACTTGAAGCTACTTGCTCCCTCTAGATATAGAAAACTTCCCCAATCGGTGCCTGTTGGTCCCCCATGATCCTCTATTTCTTATGTTATTTGAGAGCTAAGTTGATGAGATAGCCACTCGTCAGTGACCTCGCTGTGTGGTCTAATCCCTCCTAGCCACACTAGTGTTGATAAGCTTTAACACAGTTAAGTTATGGCCCTTCTGGCTCTCAACAGACTTGTGCATTGTCCTCAATCAACAACTTTAATACTACTCATGATGCTTCTTGACATGAACAGGTACATGTACATGTCTTGTATGAGTATCTGTAAAACAAAACATATTAAAGCTTATCTGCCATAGTTTACAGGAGGGATTAGAGCGCCCTGCAAGGTGACTGGACAGGTGGTTATCTCATCAACTCCGCTCTCAGTTAACATAAGATAAAGAGGATCATGGGGGACCAATGGTCACCGATTAGGCATGGTTTGTTATATAGAGGGCGCAAGTAGCTACAAGTAGTGCAGTGGGCCTTTAAACATCTTATGACTGAATCGTACCCCTCAAGAATCTACAGTACAAATGACAAAATACAGCAGAAATTACGGCACCTGTGAAATTTCTTTCAATGAAGTTTGTCAACTTACATACTATGGATGCCTTCGTCACAACAAACACAGCAAAATACTTGTAGACCAAGACAACATGGATCAAAAACAACATCGAGTGAAAGAGAGTCACAAACTACATGTATATGCGAAGGAAGAGCATGTGCTGCAGGAGAACTGTTGCAGTACTTGCTGTATCCGGAAGTGTTGTTGTGGGGGTAATGCCAGAAGATCTTGGCTTAATCAGATTTGAGCTGCACTTTGAGTCTGAGTAAGTGTTTATAGGCAAGATTTACATGCAGGCCGACAGGGGATCAGTGGGGGGAAGTGCAATGATTAAGGAGAGTTGGGCTCAGAAGAGGAAACAGAGAGAGGTAGAGGTAGAGAAAGAGAGAAGAGAAGAGAGAGAGAGAGAGAGAGAGAGAGGGAGAGGTAGAGAGAGGGAGAGGTAGAGAGGAGAGAGAGAGAGGGAGAGAGAAAGATACTGACTGACATACACAGGCCTTAAATTTCAATATTTTTAGGGCAAGGCCACTTTTCTGTAGGGCACATTTCTATATTACAGCACAAATAGGAAGAATTGGAAAGGGCACAAAAAATCTCCAAGGCCAATGAGAGGGGCATTGAGGCCAATCAAAGGGGCATCCAAGGCCATGGCCTCGGTGGCCTTGGATTAATTTAAGCCCTGCATACAGACAGAGAGACACACAGACAGAGACAGAGAGACAAAGACAGAGAGGGAGACAGAGAGAGAACAAGGGAGAGTGCAAGAGAGGAGGGGGAGAGAGGGGGACTGCTATAGAGAGAAACAGTCACACACAGAGAGAGACAGAGAGACAGACAGAAAGAGAGAGACAGAGAGAGAAAGAGAGAGAGAGAGCTAGAGAGCAAGAGAGGATGAGGACTGCTGTAGAGAGAAACTGCCACAGAGAAGGAAAGAGAGAGAGAGTTCAAAATCTTGACAGAAGGACTGACACATGGACAGCCTTAGATGGCGATCAGAACAGAGAAGAAAGGACAAAGTAGTACACGTACCTGTAGTTAACATGTACCAGGGATACAATTTACAGAACATTCAAGAAGGAAAGAAAAGGATGCTATGATAAAGAAACTTGGGCAAGATCCTATAAGGAGATTTGGGACTCTGGGAGAAAAGGAAATGATACATTAAGAATGGGGGTCGGGTGATTCACCAGAGGAACTTTGTCGACAACATGTTGTTGACAAAATAAAGAGGAAGAAATGAGGATGGTGGTTGTAGAGGGCGCTGTCAGAAACTGATAGATTTAAGGGCAATTCAATGTGTATGCAGTGATGGAAGAGGTGTCGTGGTCTAGTGGATAAGTCACCCGACTGCAGGTCGCAAGGTACAGGGTTCGAGTCCCGCCGCGCCACTAATGTCCTTTGGCAAGACATTAATCTACATTCGCCACTCTCCACCCAGGTGCTAAATGGGTACCCGGTAGGATGCGAAAGCCAATGTGGTATGCTTGTTGGGATGCTTTTTGGAATGCTCCCCAAGGAGTGGAGAAAGTGCATACATTGTGTGCGGGCAAGCCAGAATACGATGGTAATAATGGGTAATTACCGGGGTAAAAGCGCTTAGAAACTCTGACATTCCTGCCGTACTAAGCGCTATTATTAAAACAATATCTAGAAAAAACAGAAGAGGGCCAGTAATATGCCCTATACAAGTTTTGACAACTGAGGTACAAGTTTATGTGGTATGCTTGTTGGGATGCTTTTTGGAATGCTCCCCAAGGAGTGGAGAAAGTGCATACATTGTGTGCGGGCAAGCCAGAATACGATGGTAATAATGGGTAATTACCGGGGTAAAAGCGCTTAGAAACTCTGACATTCCTGCCGTACTAAGCGCTATTATTAAAACAATATCTAGAAAAAACAGAAGAGGGCCAGTAATATGCCCTATACAAGTTTTGACAACTGAGGTACAAGTTTATGTGCTTCTCCCACAAATTAGAGGGAAGTACCTGATGATTTTTCTCAGGAAATCGATCTAATTAGTGATAATCACTTTTATTGGCTGATCTTCTTGAAGTGTTTTACAATGTGAACATGCCTGTTCACATACTGTAGATTTACAAGAGAGAGAGGCCTACATGTACACTCGGACTAAATCACTAAATCATGCATGGATGCCGGTTGAAAAGAAACAAGACATCGCAAAGTGCGTTATTGAAACACAGATCATAAAATATAGATATTATGTGATATCCCTTCCATTTCGAAGACTTCTGCTAGATTTTTCATCATTTCATGCACAAGTATCCTCATGTAAAAAAAAAAATCTTTAAATTTTCTAGTGGTTTGAATTCTGCAAAATGCTACAAAATAATTGAAATACAACTGACACAGCAGTGAATTTTTCACAATTTTTGCAAGCTTCTTTCTGCAAAAAAAACATATCGTCCACATTAGCAAAGGTTTCAGAACGCAAAAATGTACAGGTAATAATACCGTATTTGTCCCATTTACACTATACATACATGTACATGTAGCTTTTATGCAATTTTCCTCTCCTGTTAAAAGTTTCTTCCCACAAAGATACATGTAGCCATTAGCCAGAATTAGAGAAAGTTTCATGTAGCAATTTTGTTATAGTTTTAGCGGATAATCGTCCTATTTAATAGTTGTGCAACATGTTCCACTGTATCTACATGTACATGTACAATGTATGTGCATGAACGTGTATATATTCCTTCATTCATAGAGCGTTTTTTCCTCCGGTGTAAAGAAGAAACAACTCAGTCACTAGAAGAGGGCTTTACATTCAAAGCCATCAGTCCCCTGCTTGCTTACAAGTATACACTTGCTTTCTTAATAGCAGGCAGGTGAAACAATCCATCAAGTACACTCCTTCTCCTTCCCCCCCCCCCTCCCCCCTCTAAAAAAACCCTGCAGTATGGCTTGGCAGTTTACCTAAGCATTTTATCCCAGCATGCATGAACATGCCTTTTTAAGCCCATCTGTACTAGTTTGGCCAGGGGGGATTAGTCTACCCTGCAAGGTCACTGACAGGTGGTTATCTCATCAAATCAGCTCTCAATTAACATTAAAAAAAGGGGATCATGGGGGACCAACAGGATCAGATTAGGCATTGTTTGCTATAGAGGGCGCAAGTAGCTATAAGTAGTGCAGTGGGGCTTTAAACTCACCTCCTTCCGGGGTGCCAAGGGATGTTCCTCCAACCACCATCCGCCGCATCCAGTCTACCGCCCTCGCTCGAAGCTGAACAGTGTTCCGAGTGACCTTCTGCCATGCAAGAAGGACTTGAATTTCCGACCGTTGGTGGACGCGGTTGTGTTCACTCTTTTTGCCGGTCTCCAAACTGTTGTATGTTTTAGCCCAAGAGTGAGCTCTAATCTACAGGGGAAAAGCTGGATGAGAACAAGATTAATAATCGATTACTTATGATTTCAATTTAATAATTTAATCGAGTGGAGAGGAGATATGCAAAATTTAGACTAATAATTGTATTCTTTTTTTCCATTTGTTTATTTATTTAAAAGAAAACAGGGTAAACCCATTCAAAAATAAGTTGGTCTCCCATGGGGCCCTGTGAGAATATACAAATAAAAGCATGATTAAACAATCAACATAAACATAAACACGATATAGAGTAATAACTGAAGAGGAAAATGGCAAGTAAACAAACAACAGATGAAAAAACGCTAAAATAACAGAAATAACACATTTAATAAAAATAGACCTTAACTTAAGCAATATGAAAACATATTGTATACCCAGACGTTGCGTCCGGACAGGTCGTGTATCCGGACAGTTGATTTAAAACAGTGATTTGAAGAAGTTTACAATGAATAATTCATAAATCTTCGAAGATTTATGTTTGAAAATGTTATAAAGGACAAATATTCATGATGATTAGTGCTTTTTGATGAATATTTTCAGTTAAATCTAAAGGCAAAAGAGAAAGCTTTATGTTTGGGTGTCTGGGCACCCAACCCCCCACCATAAAACTTCCTTTCTCATTCCACTAATAGTGATTCTGAGAGACATTTACAAGAGTTGGACATGACACATAATCAGTAAAGTCATATACTGGACATGCAGTTTTTAGTCAAACTCCAAATACGTCTAAAAATTGCTTATGAATTTCATGAGCCTTGAAAAACATAGCATTACAACCAAGATCTCATTTGTACCATTACTTTTGAATGATTTTGATCAATATACACGGCAGTTGAAGAAAGGTCAAATTGTTGTGGTGTACAATGTAAATGTGCATGGCTCAGATCAAGGGTACCCTTAGATTGAACACTGGGAAATTGTTTAATTATCCAAAACCATGAGACCCAGACACAAATTAGCATTTTTATATTAGAAAGTACCATTGGGGGAAGCTCCAAACAAGGTTTCAGCTTCATTGAGTTCAAATTAAAGATTTTAGAGCAATTTTATGATGTAAAAAGGCCTATTTTCAGCACTTTAATGTTACATTCAAAACATGCACTAATTGGTTACCAAATTTTTTACTAATGGGATGCAAAACTTATGATTTTTTTTTAATCTTGATTTAGAATCTATGTAATAATTAACATTTCTGTTGAGTTAATTCCTATTATTTTACTTTCTTATTCTATTTACATGTGATACAAGTTTTGTGATATGTACATAACTTTGGTGTCCTGCAAATTTCAAACCTAACTAACTGAAGAATGGTGTATAAATAATTGATTTATTTACAAGCTTGCAATGTTATAATGTTTAGTTTCACTTTATCTTTGATTTCCAATCAGATCATCTCATTCTGGGTCATGGTTTTAAAAATATTTAGATGTCTGTAAATGGAAAATGTTTGGTGTCCTGCAGTTATGTACAAACCAGTGCACCAGAATCTCTACAAAAACATAGTGTATACTTTCAAAATGACAATGTTATGGTGTATATAGGTGAATGAAGAGCACTGATAACATTGGATTCCGCATTTTAGCTTGTATGTGTTATTTAATCAACAATGAATGTGGACACCGAGTTATGTACGTGACAGTTATGTACGTATTCCATGTTTTGTTTTTCCAATAAGACCACCTATATTTAGTTATTTGTCATGGTAAGGTAGTAAAAAATGTATACCGGTAAGACATGTACACACATCTGATTTGGTGAGAAGAATATTACAAAATATTGCAGTTTGAACTTTTTCATGTCATGTACATAACTAAGACACCATTATGAAAAGACACCGAGTTATGTACATGTACGTTACTACCAATCAAAAATTTGAAATAATTATCATAAATAAATTTATTTATTCCATACAGCATGAATTGCACCCTTCTGTATTTTCATTTAAACAAACATTTATTGAATTTAAGGAACAAAAAGTTAAATATTATTTGAATGTAGAACTACTTACTTTTGGTGTCCACAGTTATGTACGATTACATGTACTGTAAGTACAGAAATCTTACATTTCAGTAGTTTACAAACTATTTACACATTGCAAATTATGTTTCATTCAGGAAACACATCATTCCTTCAATTGAAGTCGTTATTAGACTAATGCAAAACCATATCTGACAATAAGGCAAAGAGAAAGCATGTAGAGAATAAGATGTACTGTACATAACTCGGTGTCCACATTTGTTTTGGCCATATTCTAATAACTAAATAGAAAAAAATTGATATGGCAATGGTTTTAAGTTTTGTTTACATATGTACAGTATGTTTTAACATCTAATGTACTTTGTCAGAAAAATTAAAATTATAAGGGAAATATCAGCATGAAGTGGACACTGAGTTATGTACGTTACATTTTTGATGATGTGATATTTAGCTACTGATTGCAACTTAACGACGATTTGTTAAGGTCTGATTTTTTAGCTATATGTTGCATAATGTTTGCAGATTACAAAAATAATGTTGCCACAGTCTATAATTGACTTTTAAAATTCACCTCATATGTAACACTTAGGTGCCCTTGATCAGAGCCCTGCACAAATATTCAACCGTCAATGAAAAATGCCATTGCAACTTATGATCAAACAGCAGCGGGTGTGTTTAGTAACTGTTTATGAACATTTTGCCCTTCTATCAGAAAAAAAAATACTTTAAAAATTTGGGGGCAACTTTTCAAGCTTGCTTGCATGAAAACAACACTCTTTAATTTGTTTTGCATTGAACTCTATGCAACTTTTGGAGGGCTCTTTTATGACTTTTTGGGGCTTTTTTTTTTGCATTTTGGGGGCTAAGTGGCCCGAGCCCCCATGTAATTTGTACACTGCCTTCTATGGTGGTTATTGTATTATTATGATAGTAAGGCTCATGATCCTCTATTTATATTGATATTTTTGTGAAGCTTTTGTTGTTCTGGATTGAGTTGCAACATGTTGGCGAAATGAAGCGAATAAATGTTCCTCACGTTGAAATCACCTTTGTACATCACCGCAATTTCCCCATATTTACCATGCTTGAGGGCTGATGTCTGCGCGGGTGTATCGATGCACAATATTGATCACGCATAAAAAGACGAAAATCAAATGAATTTCGTTTTCAATCTTTTTTCTTTATTTTAGGACATGGTCTTTTGGGCAATTGCATACATGTATGAATCTTAATTCCATGTACAGTAATATTAGATAAATATTCATGCGAACAACCCTAACCCAAACTGGGTGCCAATTAAAGGGAGTGTATCATGACGAGACTATGTGTCTTTCCCGTGGGGGCGTGGTCCTACCCGGGGCAAATCGAGTATATTACGACTACTGACGACGCGACCGCAGCTTTTGCGTGCGTGCAACATTTGCGAAACCGAAGCGTGAGGAGAACTTTGGGCTGTTTCGCCAACGCTAGCGCGCACTGACCCAGTTAATCAAGTCCATTGATTTACGTGCAGTTGTCTAAAAGAAAACATAGACGGCGTTAACCAGTATTTGCCATGATACACTCCCTTTAAGGTAAGTGATATATCAATATCAGATTTCATTTCAAATCAGAAATCTTGGACATTAAATGATTCCCTATAGATCTACAGATCTCATACACATGACTCTGCTCAGCCCAAATCCATGGTGACAGTGCGAAAAATTTGCACATGCATAAAATGTATTTCATGCTCGGTAGCTCACGTCGCACAGGGCTGTCAACTCTCCCGCATTTGGAGGGAGTCTCACGCCACCACTCTCATTCTCCCGCCGCCCCAAAAGCTTGTAGTGGGAGACTCCCTCCACCAGGCCTTCCTCCCGCTCTCCTGCCAACGATGTAGAATCTTCTGGTTTATGAAAAAACCTCCTGCCAAACCGTATACCCCCCCCCCCCAAACAAAAATGTACTCTTACCCTCCCCCCCCCCCCCCTACCAAGGCGAAGCATGCTACCTGTGTTTGAGCCATCGTACAAATAGTACTGCGTTTGTACATTCAGATCACGCGTGTGTGTGTTTGTGAATTGGCGAACTGAGCCGCATACGGTGCACAGTGAAGACAATGAAGGTCGGGCTTGCCGTTCGTGTTCAAGAAGCGCATGCAGCTTAGCACCTGTCTTTTTTCATCTTCTGACAAAAATTGGATAAAAATTGGATGAATATTGCCTAGATTCTGGTGGGCATAGAAACATTGGTTAGTCTTGAAATTTGAGATGTACATGTACATGTATCCTAAATGATTTTGTCAATTATCCAACCATAGACCTATTGATGAAAAACGATCCAAAACTTCAAAAGGGAAAATTGTAAAATCATTCTGACACCCTACCCATCTCTCTATGTAAAGTGCCAAATTATTGGCATTGCCATTAGCACAGGGCAGTCAACTTTACAAAACTGCTTGGACTTGGAGGGAAATTGGGAATAAAATCAGATTTTTACTCAACACTCCCCCCCCCCCCCCTTCACCCTTGAGCAAACAGAATTTGAATATGAATATGATACGGTACGCTGGTAAGTCCTAATTAAAGTTAAAGACCAGTATTGGAAACGGCCCAATTTCAAAAAGTGAAATGGAAGCTCTTATTACCAATCATGTGAAAGAATGTTTTGAATAATACATGATAACAATTTTGCTGGAAAACCGATGATAACAATTTTGCTGGAAAACCGCCTACTAATTGATATATTTGGTAAATTAGTTTATCTATTGTTGGTGTGTGAGAGATAAACGCACGTGTGCGTAGTCCCATATACATCTTTCTGTTTACAGTGCTTGAAACTTCATGAAGACTGGGCCAAATTTCTTATCATTTTGATGATTCCAGAACCTTGCAGTACATCTATGCTAGATGATCAACCTTTTCTGATCGAATTCCCGTTTCTTTCACAATGCAATCGCATGACCATAGACTAATTGGTCTTTATCTTTAAACAGCTATCGAATGAACCCCGATGGAAACAAACGCTAAAGTTTATTGGTTCTTTTTTTTTAAGGTGCACAAGTTTTTATAATTTGTCTTTGTTTTTAGGAAAAATACTCCCAAAAAAGAGAAGAAAATTTACACGAAACAGGTAAGAAACTCATCGACTTTTGAATCATGACCATTATCTGAACAATTGACAGGGATTGTTGAAGATCAAGTTAATTTTGGGGTAGACCTATACCTATAGGCCTATGAACTTCTAGGGTAGATCTAGGCCTATCTCCGCGCCAGAGTTCAAAGTCTGGATATGATTCTAAACGAATCTGAACTAGATCTAGCGCTTTTCAATTTATTTATGTTTGAGGTTTTTTCATTAGCCGGGAGATTCTAATTTCTAAATTCTATTCTTCATCGTTTACGGGAGAGCGGGAGGAAGGGCGTGGTAGCGGGCGTCTCCCGTCCCGCTACGACTTTTACGAGCTTGTGTTGTGGGACTGCGGGAGAATTAGCGTGAGACTCCCTCCAAATGCGGGAGGGTTGACAGCCTTGCATTGGCATAGCAGTGTCAGTGACAGTGCAGTGACAGCTAGGCCAAGTTTAGTGAGTCATTCTTTCTTGTATTGCGCAATTCTTTTGTAGGCCTACGTTCATGCAAATGCAAATCTGTCTCTGCATTCTGCGAGTGTGAGTCTGTCGTTCTCAACATGCCTAAACCTCTTAACCGTTGATACCTTCTCATTCCAATTTTTTCTACGACTTTCCACACAGATAATGTACAAGGAATATCATCTACAAGTTTAAATCGAATGCTCAATTTGCATGGAACTCACATTTCCTGTTCCTTATCTCACGGAATGATTCATGTCTCGGCCGTCTTCCAATTCTGTGCCTGTGTCACTCGCATTGCAGTCACGTCGGCCATCAGCTGCATCTCATACAAAAACAACGGCAAATGCTACAAGTGATTTCCTGTCGTAGCTGGCAGCACAACACAATGATGAATAACTGGCCCTTACCCAAATCTGGCAAAACTGCTGAAATACCAACAAAAAGGGGTTCCAACTCCATCGTAAAATTGTGTTCTCGTGCCCCTAGCGCATATTAACAGAAAATATCTTTTTGTTTTCTTTTTTCCTATTTAAATATATCTTTATGAGTATACCTTTCTTGACAAGTTCAACATATTATATCAAAGGAAATCATTTCCAGAAAGGCCACTTAACATATGGCCTGAATGTAAATAAGATCTTTTCTAATAACTGTCCATTTCCCCTTCGATAAGTGGCTACTTTTCCTTTCTCCATAACATGCACCCCTAATTCAAGGCGACTGTAAAAAGAGCCCCTTTTTCTTTAATTTTGCTCGCTCGCATTTATCGATGTTATAATTATGTTACTTATAACAGAACTTTTCAGTCTGTCTTCATTAGATTGTGCTAAATACTCATCAGGTTTTTGTTTGGTCTTCTTTAATTAAAAATGTAATTTTTTGCACTGGGACCTCACAAATCTTAACATTTTTGCTCGCTCGCTTCGGACACTCGAAAAATAACATTCAGATCATCACACCTAACTGCAAAGTATGAAAGAAGCAAATATTGATATGATACCTGGTAGTTTAATCACAATCGTAGTCGCCCCTTTTTCTAGAAAGTGCTCTTTTGGGGGTAGTGCCCCCTCCTTATTTTGGAAGACGCTCCCTTGCATTATGCTACTTGGTGAAGATAAGGATTTTGTTCTGATCCCCCAAAATTTTTTGTTGATTATGCCACTGTATGTCTACTTATTGACTCATTTTTTTTAAATACTAATATATGGCCAGTATAATGACGCTGTAAGATGCATTGTTTTTAATGATATTTTATTTCTTTCCTCATAAAATTCACATTGCAAGAAATATTTGAGTAAGTAATACAAAGCAAGACCTTCGATACAAGACACTTCATGCATTACATCAATCAATGAACAATGAACATGAATAAATCTTAAATTATACATGATTGTACATTTTTTCTTTCATGAAACAGTTTATAATCAAAATAACCACAGAGGTAGGTATGTAATAATAATAATGTATATGTTTTGAACAATAGAATTACTGCTCTCTATATTGTGTTGAATTTAGGGTAAGGGTAATATACCAGTTTATATAACATCCTGTTAATGAACCGTTTAGGGTTATATAGATGCCCTGTTCATACAACATGTAGGATTATATATATATATATATATATATATATATATATATATATATATATATATATATGTATGTATATTTAAGTGAATGATGCAAGGGAGCGGGAGATGGGGTGGCTCTGTGACTCATCCTGGTTAAAATATTCATATCTGTTGACAAATTTCAAATTCCTACGTTATAACATCGTCTACAAATAATAATTATTAATAAAGAAATGACAGGTATTTTAGCCATGTCGGCAAATCTAAGGACTTTGTTTTTGGCTTTTGCCAACATTTTAATTTGTGCGCAAAAATTACATATTAATGATAATAACTCTAACCATCATCATCATCATCATCATCATCACAACATCAGACTGATTGCATTTCATCGACGACGTGAGTTACCAATTAATCAGAGGAAAATAAATAGGCCATATTTGTTATGTATTTATTTATACAGTTAACAACGAAATTATTCATACCCTTACCATTTAACATATTAATAATAATAATGATATTAATAATAATCATCGTAATCCTTTAAAAATACGCCTCTGTGACACACTTTATGCCGAAAATTAGCTCTAGCGGGTCATTATTTTCATGAATTATTCTCATGCATGGCATATTTTACTAAGATAAATGACATTTAGTCTTGATTAAATTAAGCTGAAAGCATTACTCTTCCTTGCGCTATTACATGCCCCTTTGGCACTTTCCATGCCGAGAATTAAAGCTCTATAGCGGGTCATTATTTTCATGAATTATTCTCATGCATAGTATATTTTTCCAAGATGAGACATTTAATCTTGATTAAATTGAGCTGAATTTTCCTTGCACTATTAATCAGCCATCCCAAAGGACGCCATGAATACATGTTCCAATCTACTGGCAAATGGCCCTCAAATAATTATCTTCAGCACACAAAAATAAAAGAACGGCAAGCAGCAAAGTGCTCTGAACATGTCTGTCACCAAGTAATGCATTAGATGAAACTGATTGCTTTTCATCGACGACGTGAGTGATCTTTTAATGAGACTAGAGGCGAATAGAAAGTAGGCCATGTTCGTTGCGTATTTATATATACAGTTAACAACTAAATTATGTATACCCTTGTGCGAGTTTTGTAATTTGTTCAGTATGAGAAAAAAAGGAATTATCCCATCTATGCTTCTTGGAAATATCAAAGCTTACATCTATTTAAAAAAATCAACAAATACCCCAATTCTACCAATCTACCTTCCATTCCTGAGTTAAGAAAAACACAGCAAACATTAAACATGCAAGGGGTATGATTGATGGATATGTGAAATGTAGGTCCCATGGAAACTGTGTAGGTAGAGAGAGAAAGAGAAAGAGAGAGATGAGGAACTGCCCAGGACAGTCAACTGTCTGTATATTGTCTCTTTATATTCGTAAATCTTGGTGACATGCGCGCCCCCTCAAACACTGGCTATATGTACAACAGAATTTATTAAATTATTGATTTATATATTAATGTCTTATACATCAGGCATGGTAGGTCATTCAGTAAAAAGAACCGCTTTCAATGACGCAACATATGCTGCAACATACACAACACATGAACAACAACATTACCAACAATTACAACAAAACAAAAATAACGTTTGACATGAAATACTAGAAATATAAATATACAAATAATAAGTGACATATATAAACAATACATATTGCAAGAGTTGCTAAAAAAAAGGAATAACGCAAGAATACAGACCCCCCCCCCTTCCCCTTTTTTTGTGGAGGGGAGGGGATATGCTAATTTATGGGGAGTGGGGCGAGTGCGCGTACGAACTTAAAGGTAAACATTTAAAACGACCGGAATCAGGGCCAGGTTTCATAAAACTTTTTATAAAACACGAATGCTAAATTTTATGGAAAATTTAGTCTTAGCCAATCAAATGCCACGATTTCAGTTGCTTATGACAGTTAATGTAACTCGTCATTGTTAACAATTTGTATGTACCAGGACCCAGTCTACATTTACCCCATATCCGTCTTGGAGGGACTTCACCCCTCCTATTAATTAATATTTGGATACGCCACTACAAATACTGTGTCCCGAATTCACAAAGTAGGTTTGTAGACAAACTTAGATTATGTGCGTCATATGACGCCGCGTTTTGGCGCGTTTCAGACCAAGGTTTGTCTGAACCTTGGTCTGAAACGCATCGAAACGCGTCATGTGACGCACATAAACATAGGTTTGTCGACAAACCTCCTTGTTGGAAGTATCGTCAATGATTGAAAAGGTTGAGAACACTTAGCAAAAGATTGAAATTCCATTATTATAGCAATTCCATCATAAACCCTCACTGCTCCTGGATTTATAGAAGGACATGACCTCCTATAAGCAGTAAACTACGAAGCCATGACAGTGTCTTTTAAAGATAAAGTTGAGTTCTGGTCATGCGATTGCATTGTGAAAGAAAAGGTGTGGAATGGATCAGAAAAGTTGATCATGTAGCATGTAAGTATTGGTGTGTACTGCAAAGTTCTGGAATCTTCAAAATCAAATAAATTTGGCCCAGTCTTGGTAAAGTAACTAGCACTTACACAGAAAGATGTACATGGGACTACAAAATTGGTGTCGGGACCCGACACCTTGATTTCCTTATCTTTTTATGTTCATTACTTAGCAATTGCACATTTTCTACTAAAATTGTTTGGCAAATGACATTTATTTGTAATCTTAAACATTCAGTGTAAGTTCGTTCGATTCTGTGAGAATTTTTTTTTTTTTTTTTTTTACCAGAACTCAAGTTTATCTTGAAAATGAACATGAGCATTTTCAAGTTACGAATATAATTCTTTCATACGTTATTGACCAAAGCAAAAGACTTTGATAGCTTTTTGATCAATTTTGCAAGCCTTACCAAATCTTGTATCAAACCAAATGTCAAGTAAGAGTCCATATTCGAGATTCGTTACATACAATATAGACATAGGCATCAGTTGAAGTTAAAGTCGAAGTTTTATTTTTCCATATTCCATTAAAAACATTCCATTAAGAACATGAACTATATGAACAGTAGAATATGTATATATAAACAATACATTACAGTAAAACGAAAACGTGGAAGGGAACCGCATAGCTTATAGGCCATCAGCCTTTCTTGACAGAACCCTTACAAATATATATTTATTCGACAATAATTATGTACAAGCACAGAATATAACTCAACAAACCAACAAAGTAAAGTCAAACGGAATATAAACGAACACCATAAGTGCAACACACATTATACAAAGGAATAAGTTGCTCGATGGTCATGACAAGAGGGGCTAATGATATATTTTCTTTCTCTTTTTCTGTTAAAATTAAGTGATGGGCAAGATTTAAGTTCAACAAAAAGGGAAGTCCAAAGCCTAGACCCAGTGTATTTCACAGTGGTCCTTCAGATATACTAATAAAGGGAACATGTAGGTTTAATACTGGATTTCTGGTTTGATATCTTTTGGCGTACTTGTTCGTTATGAAAATTCATTAAATACTGGTGGCAGAACACCCTTGAAATAAGAGTACATAAGCTTTGCGACCTGAATAACATGAATATCAGATACTTTTAGAGTGTTAAGTTTTTGAAGAAAAAAAATCTGTCGAAGCTAAAAAATGAGAGTTTGTAATATTATGTATTGCACGTTTTTGTAATATGAAGTGGTTGCACAATTTCCCCATACAATAGTACAATAAGATAAGTCTGGTAAAATCATTGTTTGATAATACACTGTCGCCCATATAGATGAAATATTTTGTTTT